AGTTATTCTAAAAGTATAAATAAATCAAATATGTTTATAACCATCGCCCACCAGTAGAACCATTACCTTGGTAAGACTGAAGAGGGGTTTGAAAATCTATCACAATTAAATGCATACACCGACATTAATCTAATCAACGTTTATTTATATGTGGATTATTTATTTTCCTTGTTAGTTAAATTAAACTTTAAAAAGTTCTCTAAAATAAGATGTAGAAAAAATGCAAACGAATATATATAATTTTTTTTTCAAAGCGCAGGGACAACGCTACATAAGAATGTCTGACACCTAGGGCAGCAAAAGATAACCCAATCGAGCATTTAATGCTTAAACCAAACAGCTCAAAGGAAAATCTTGTATTGTGTACAAATTCAAATACTTTTTAACATCCTCTAACAAAACTGAACTAATCATCTCAAGAAAAATAACATCATCTCACGAAACTGAACTAATCATCTCTAGCAAAATATGATTAACCAAAATGTGACGTCTTAATGTACCTATATCTTGTCCTGAGTGACAAAGTTTATGCGTACATGCAGTAAAATCATGCTCCCGTCCACCAATTTGTGTCTTTCTGACACCCGGCTATATATTGACCATGTGTGCCCGCTAAGCACTATACCATTCCAAAATACGAACTTATGCCATATACCACATAGCCTCAAGATGTAACTGTGTTTCTGAATCACTCTCATCGATATCACTGTTATCGGAATTTGCGTCAGTGCTTTGATTTGACGGACATGAGTTTCTTGCCGGAAAAAATTCCGAATGTAAATTGTCTAGCTCCTAAAATTACAAATAAAAAAAAATAAGTTCTGCTATTGGAAGGTCTCTGTCATTTCATGTTTTAAAATGTAATCTTGCGTTTTATGGTATGAAAATTAATTTTGAATTTTTAAATGTTAAGGAATGTTTCTGAAATATTTAAAAAAAAAAAAAGAATGGAAAATAACTTATGAAGAAAGGAAGGAATAAGTATTGAATAAGAATTATTCTTTTCGGTTCAGTGAATCATATAAAATTTTGTTTTATTTATTTCTACGATAATTATGTGGGTTATCCGTTTTTGTTTTGTTTTTTGTTTATAAACATGATAAAGTGAATATAGAAAAATTACCGAAACTCAAATCTAGCTAAAGAACCGTAGCTCTCCGAAAAAAATATACTGTAGAGAGCTAGGCGAGCTACAACGCAACCCATTGAAAAAAAATTGTATATTTATTTTGTTCTGGATCAACTCTATTACATTCTTATCTCATCAATCACAAAAAACTAGATTTCAAACGATTCCTTACTGTATCTAGTACTCTTGTAGCTGACATTGAATTGGATTGAAAACTAAAATGGCAGGTTATCGGTAAATAGACTAAATATTCGATTATCTCAATGTCAGGGCCATGGGAGCTATTATTTAACAACAATTGTAAGAAATGTTTTGTTGTGGAAACAGTGAAAGAATATGTTAGTAACTAAACTTTAAATAATATTTTGAGATTACAGTTTTATAAACACGGATAAATAAGTTGAGAATCATCGCACTTTTTCGTTTGCAATAAATATATAGTTTTTTTTTAAATGGGCGGCACTGTAACTCTCTGGTCTTTCAATTTACAAAGGTTGATAATGTATTGAAATATGCGGGGGCTGGTGAAATTATCACTAATCATTTTGCTGTGTTTTCTTTTTTTAAATTAATGAATTAATCAGAAACAAATAACGTTCGAAATTATTTTTGAACAAATGAACAAATCTACAAATTAAAATGCTACTCACAGACAATTCCATCATCAGAAATTATACATGACGCACCTAGAAGAAAACGTCGCGAACACCAGCTTTATGCCGTCACGCCTTGAAATTATTACGTTAACTTTAGCGCTCATTTTCTCGATAACGTCACAATGCAGATAAGGGTGGTTTTCGCTTGACGGGCATCATATGTAACATCAATACTTCAAGTCAATGTACTAAAATCGCGTGACTGCCGCATCACGTGACTAGTCCAAATATAAAATATAATCGTCCTCGATATGTAGTTATTAATCATAATTACAATTATCCGATATAAATAATGTACTAAAAATAATCGCCATCCCGATTATGAATACATTTTTAAATACAAAATTTAGCCGATATTTCCATTGCGCACCATAACTGTACTGCGTAGTCGCCATTTTAAAGTTACGTGCAAAAATATAGTTCTTACTCTCAACCGCTTTTGAGATAATACAAACGCTAAATAAACCAACAAAAATAAAACGAAGTTTTATCTATATAAAATAAACATTAGTAGTAATGACTTTGAAAACTTCATAAGTCAAAGAACATAGATTTTTAGCGTAAGGATTTTTGATATGCAGTGTTACCGTAGTTCTCAACACATACGAGGTAAAGCAGGAGAGGGAACCAGACTGGCCTGTTTGTTTACATTCAGCCGCGGTACCAGATTAATTCTGATTCTGACAAAATCGGACCGTGGTATTAGGATTGAAAAACTCACTGTCAGTGTCTTATCATTTATATTGATAGTTTTAAAATATTTTTTTCATCAGAATAAAAACGTGATTCATGTAAGAAATCCATTCTACTCTGTAAATGAGCCGGCCGTCTCTCTGTACTTCTGCCTCACTGATGGCACTCATCATGTTTCCAATCTTGTGCCTAAACACTACATTATTGAAGTATATGTTATACTTTGGTGCTGCACGCGACTGTTGAAATAAAAATGGACACAGTGGGTTCAATCTTCGGATAAGTTTCACAAAGCTCCTCAACGGACAGCGATCATTATTTTTGAAAAAAAAAAATTATTAGTACCAGTTTTTTCCGCAATGTTCTTACATTTTATGAAAACACATATTTTTTTGAACTTTTTTAGTATTAGAACATACCTTTAAAGGACTCCGATCCTCAGCCAGGAAGGACAACTCTGTAATTGTCAATTTAATTTAAAGAGTCTCAAAATGAAGCTTGAAATTAAAACTTTTCATGCAACAATTTTCATTATATTCCTCTCAATGTGCTTTAAGGTTCTTTGAATTTCTCAGAGAGATCTAATAAAAAGTTGAAATTTTTACCCCGCAAAAGCATTTTAAACTAGTGGGTACTGTTTTTTTTAAAACAAAAACACGTTTCCCCTTCTTTACCAACATTTGCAAATGCAGTTTTACTATCAAGGTAAAAAATGATAATGCATTGCCAAAAATGATCTTAAGTTATGGTCTGGTCTTGTTTTTTTTTTCTTAATATAACCTGAAATGAAGAAAGTGGTCAAGGTCAAATAATTTGATGTAGTGTATTTAGGCTTAATGTTGTCTTAATTTCTTCCAAATTTTAATTCCTAACGTCAAGAAAGGTCTCAAGCTATGACTTAGGATATTTTTCATATGAACCTTTGACCTTGACCCAATTATAATTTTTAAATCATACCTGTTGTAGCCTTTCCTTAATACTATTCAAAACATTATAAACGCATCAATAATAAGCGTAAATTAACTCAAAGCATGTGTTTACCCCATGTTAATGTTTACAGATAAACTCGATTACTTTAAATGATCCAATTTATCAGAATGAAGATGATCCAAATGAATCTTCAACTGGTACTTTTTTTTATTTCATACATCCATTTCATGTATACGAAGAACCGATATCAAGTTTAAACAAGACAATATAGGCGTTTAAATGTTTCAGTTGCATAAAAATTTTATTATGCACGCTTTTATTATCCATTGTTGCTTTATATCCTTTGTTTACGTCTTTTCTTTTTTGTGTAGTTGTATCTATCGTCATCAGTATATCGTCCTCCCACCCTTGTATTTGTCGTCATTTGTGTACTGTATCGCCTCCGCCGCCACAATGTAGTGGCGTTGGCTCCAATGGACGACGATGAAGAGGAAGAGACCGAGTTGATTGTAGAATTTGGCATTGGGAACAAATAAGAGAAACCCCGAGAACCCTCTGAGGCCAGCCCAGCGGTTATTCGATCTCTGTCTAAATATAAGCTCCTGTGATTTTTTTTGTCTTTTTTGGTCTTCTGTTAATTTGTTTTATAGTAAAGTGATCATATAAGTTATATGCGATTTATACAGTCTAATGTTATATTCCTTTTTTTCTTAGTTTGTGTAAAGCCTTTTTAGTGAAGAACTAATGTGCTTTTCTTCATTTGATTTATTGTTGAATAGAAAATGTATGTTGTAGTAAGAAATTGAAAAATAAACAACACAGTTATACAGTACAATGTTACAAAAACATCAAGTAAAACAGCACAATAAATGCAACTCAGGCAGACTAGTACATATCACTATGTGTTTCATTCTATAAATGACTCAATAAAAATATCTCTCTTAATACAAACTTGATTCTTATGACATTTTGTAAAAAAAACAAATTGCTAAACTTAATATGTAATGAGACTTAATGTTTTGATTAGATAATTCGAATTGACAATACTTATAATCTGTCGTACATGAATTATGCGACTGAGTACGTGACATACAAAGACCATGTGCGCCGTAACCTTGACATTAGCTACCGTTTCTAAATTTAGACAAAAGTACCGAATCATGTTTCATAAAATTCCACACATACTACAAATGCATACATCTTTAACTTGCACAAGGTTTATAATAAATCACTAAGACATATAATAAACAAGAAAAACTTACTCTATGCGGGACTAAAACAGCCAAACATGACATAAAGCTTGCAGATTTGATGCGGGCGCCATGCCGTACACAAAACTCAAACGGAAATAGTATGTAAAAATCAAACAGATAACGGATTCAATCCGGAAAGCTATCAAAGGGAAACAACTCAATTTCATGTAACACTACACTCCCCGTCTGATTTATCACTCTTTACAAACTCTGCCCTACATTTACACTGATAGCACAAAAAATACTACTTGTATGTAGAAAATACATGTTAAACAAAAATATCAAAACATGGTATACACAAAGAACGTTACATGTAAATCAAGTTCGTGTACTACATGGTTACACAGTAATTAATGGAATCACTTCCGTAGCGGGCCTGATGAAGACGCATGGCTTTCCTTCCTTGATGATACGTACTTCGATTTTGCGTACCCGACCGTCCGACTCACTTGGAAATACACGGTTTATGATACCTACTGGCCAGTCATTGCGCGCACTTTCTTTGCATTTCTTTACATTCCCATCCTTAAGATTGTCCGTTGAATCCTGCCATTTCTGCCGAGGTTGTGGCGTGGAAAGGAACTCGGTTTTCCATCGCTTCCAGAAAGTGTTAGCCATAACCTGGACCATTTTCCACTGACTTCGGTACATGTCCTTGACATCAAGATCCTGGAATTCACTTGGTACTTCATGAGTTTTCTGTGTCAGTAAATTCTGTGGCGATAGAACGAATGGTGCTTCAACATCTGTTGACATAGGCACCAAAGGCCTTGAATTCATTATAGCCATGACCTCTGCCATAAAGGTCGTCAAAGCCTCATGAGTCAGCTTCCCATGTTTGGTATCCATAAGCATTGCCCCAAGGATGCGACGGGCAATGCCTATCATCCTTTCCCATGTGCCTCCAAAATGGGATGCGTGGGGAGGATTAAACCTCCATACAATCCTCTTGTGCGCTAGAAATGTCTTCAGACTGTGGTCTTCCACGTTCACTACATTCATCTGCAGCTCAGCAGCAGCCCCTACGAAGTTAGTCCCTCTATCTGACCTGAATTCAGAGACCGCACCACGAACTGCAACAAACCTTCTTAAGGCGTTGATGAAAGAAGACGAGGTCATCTCCTCAATGACCTCGATGTGGACTGCTCTACTATACTAACAGGTGAACAACACTGCCCAACGTTTTGAGTCTGCGCTGCCCCCTCTTGTTCGTCTCGTGATGACACTCCAAGGGCCAAAAACATCCACATCAACAAAGGTGAAGGGTGTTGACCTTGTAAGGCGGACTTTAGGAATGTCAGCCATTTTCTGACATAATGGCTTCCCTCTCATCTTGCGGCAGGTCACGCAGTGATGAATGATTGATGACACGAAGCGTTTCCCTCCAGAGATCCATAGGCCCTCACTTCGTATAGCACCTTCTGTCAGATGACGCCCTTGGTGGTAGATTTTCTCATGATGATGATGCACCAATAGTCGGGCAACATGGCTCTTGCCAGGTATAAGGATGGGTGTCATCTCCCCTTCAGGTAAGTCCGACAATTTGATTCGTCCACCAACTCGCAGCAAGCCGTCATCAAGGTAAGGAGACAGAGTCAGAATTGTACTGTCTCTTGGAAGGGGTTTTCCTGCACGTAATGCGCATAGTTCTTTCTGATAATACTGTTGATGAACCTCTTTAATGATCATCATCTCAGTTTCTCGACGAGATATTTCATCCACCTTCCCTGCTTTCTTCCTGATGCATTTTTTGATGAAGATAATGGCCCTCACAAGGCTCAGCCAACTACCAAAACGACTGAAACGTGATGTTCCTAAAAATGGCTTGGTTGATACTGAGACAGTCTTAAGGGTCACTATCTCTGGTCGTACTTCACTATCTTGATCTGGGTTCACCAAAGAAAATGTCTCATTCTGGAAATTGTTTGTATTTACTTTGAGGAAGTCTGGTCCCTTTAACCACAAACTATCACTGAGTTGTTCTGGCAAAAGTCCACGAGTTCCTTGATCAGCAGGGTTTTCATCTGTTGTTACATAATTCCATTGGTGTTGAGAAGAACTCTTACGTATCCTAGACACACGGTTGCATACATATACATAAAAACGTCGGCGCTCATTTGACAGATACCCCAGCACTACTTTGCTGTCAGAGTAATACCTGATGTCCTCTAAGGGTAAGTCAAGTTCTTTTGAAAGCATCTCACCAAGCTCCACGGCTAGGACGGCAGCACAGAGTTCCAATCTTGGAATCGTGTGTCCACTTTTTGGTGCAACTTTACATTTGCCGAATACGAATCCTACAGAGATCTTCTCATCCACGGTTCTACCTCTCAGGTAAGCACATGCAGCTACTTCCGATCAAATAAAAGATATATTTTATAAGTAAAAGGATTTCAAGTTGTCCTCTCAGAATCCACTGTTACCAGCATTTATGTCCCACAACCTTAAACGTCTGCACAGAATGCAAAAATAGGCCTGTCAATACTTCTGTCAATTTCAGATGTGTTTCCTGTGCTACTTAGATTCATTTTAGTCTGACCTTAGTACCATTGTTACATATATACCACTGTTAGCTTCGTTGGTGTGATTTCTACGTACAAATTAGAGAATATTTCTACTTGTATTTCTTTTTCTTGACTTTAAGTCCACCACTAGATAAAACAATACAATAAAACGTTTAAGGAAGTATCGTTTGGAAAGGTGGAGACTTTCATCAAATTAAATGTTGATGGAAGGGGTGATTTCTTCCTGGCTGTGGTGAGGATTATGGACAAATACGATACTGTAGCTGACCATCCTCGAAGTTCTTCAACCACTCACAAGGTTCAATTGAAACCACCATCCGGACACCTGTAAGCAGTTCTTGTTCAGGACATTTTGGATGTGTGCGTTTGTGTTACTTTGAGTGACGCTCTTAGTTTGTGTCCATAGATCCCAACAGGGTCGAACGCGAGAGAAGTGTGAACTCAGTAAACAAAAACATTTCATGGTCATACTGAAGTTGCCATTCAAGATCACTCACTATGAGATAGAGACATTTATGAATACTTATTTTTGCCTAACCAGGTGCCAAAAAAAAAATCAAAAACAAAAATGACGGCACCTACACATCCCGACATGTCTTAAACTTAAAACAACCCGACACTGTTAATGAAGCATTTGGTCAGTTGCTCATATTTCGAAATTAATTAAGAGTGTTTCGGCAGTATCAATAACAAATGTCATTACATATATATGATAAGGTCTGCCATCAACAGGGGTTCATCTTATGCAAAAATCATTTAAATTCCTTGAATCTTATTTCATTTTAATTTGGACATAATGATAAGATCGCCTATATTCTTGTGTTTGCTGTATGCCACCATAGAGGTTGATGTGCATAATTCTTTGCAAACTTCACCATCTAGTATGCAATCCTAATATTTCATAAGTCGTTTCCTTAACCCTTTTATACATGGGTTAAACTTGGTGACCAGAACGTTGGGCACAGTATTTTGTTGTTTTTCTTCTTTGATTTTTTTTAGAAAGTCCGTTCTATTTGCAGAAATAGTTTCCTGCATGATAGGTTCAATTTCTGAATGTATATATTCTGCGGTATTGGTGAGAGTATCGTCAACAATTTACTGGCTGCCTTGGAACTCCCTAATATTCCCCAACCACCCTAAAGAGAAGGGAACGAGAGGCAGGATCTGCATTTGAAGCAGTTGCTACTGAGACATGTGGTGATGCAATTGCAGCTGAAAGTAGAAGGTAAAAGAAATATATGTCAAAAGTGTTTTGGTACAGAAGTAAAAAAAATACATAATTATAGTATCATCTACGTTTATTACATGAAAGTTATACTTTGTAATGCATCAAATTAAACTATACATACATATTTTCCTTTCCTGCTTTATTTGAGAGAAATGTTTGTTCATTTTCAGTTGTCAGAGTGAAGATGACCAGGCCGTATCCTTTAATGCTGGCTGGCAAACCAGGGGAAGTGGAAGGGACTATGTTAGTTAATCTGGTGTGAATTTAAAATACTTTTTTTGTTCCAACTTTTATTGCAATTTTGATATTATGCATGTTTAACTGTTTGTAAATGTAGTTATACTAATTTTTTTTTTAATTTCAGGTCATAGAATTATGATGAGAGTAAATACTGGAAAATTGTTGAGTTATGCTGTTCGCTGTAAACAGTGTCGATTTTGTGATAAGGCTGTGGATAAAGAGAATCCAAAAGAACATGATTGCAGAAAGAATTTGGAAAAATCCTCAAAAGCAATGTAGTCGAATATGGCAGAGGAAATGCTGCATGAATTTAAATCCAAGGAATTCCATGTTAAAAAACTAATCATAGAATTGATACTACTACTTTTTTAAACACCCAATTTTATGTTAACGCCCCCAAAATCTACCTGATTCAAGATCAATAATTTACTGCCTGTCAATCATTAAAAAAACAATAGCTTCTGAATTGATTGACAGGTCAGCAACCTGTGCTTACCGATAATCTGAGTTTGCATGTTTTGAAAACAATTACCTGGTCACGCGTCAAACGCTTTCATGTACCCGCATAGTATACACGCAGAGAACTCCAATATGCTTGTATTTCATTAAAAAAAAAATTGAAAGTAGATTATTAAAACATTGACATAATAACATATTTCTTTTCTATCGTCACTGCTGTTTGTTACTTGTAAGTGTTATATCGTCCACGTTTATCTGTAGAAAAAAGACCGCGTCCACAGAAACCGGCTCTATTTGCCGTAATTAGAAGTCCAAATCCGACGAATTAAATTATTTTTTAAAGAAATGGAATATAAGGAAAATATTCAGCACTAATAAACGGCACAGCGTAGTTTTATTTTGTACTATGGCTACAACCCGCTCGATGTTGCACAGAAATTGATGTCAGTATTAATGCTCGAATTTTCTCTAGATAGCGTCTGTATATATACGTAATGAAAATTTGAAGATATTTTATATTGGTCGATTCTGAAAAGAAATCTGTCTAACAATTAAATTTTGTTAACATACGAAGAATAAAAAATATTGAATATTTTGGACAAAAACACCACTGTTACATTGACCACTTCCCCTCTTCAGGTAACCGTACGGTAAAAAATTGGGTCTTTAAGGTTATAATTTTATGCTATAAAAATAGTGCATAACCAATGGTTTCCTATCCACAAAAGTGGAAAATCAAATTAGCTGATGAAAATAAGGTATCAATTCAATTCATGGTAATCACGAACAGTATTCAAACTCAGGTATATTAATCCAATCAAATCAAGGAACGGAACAAAAACGGACATTTAAATCATTTAATGTAGGATCAGGTGTCTTGGAGGAGAGGACAACGCTGCCGACTAGTCCCATGCGCTGTCCTGTCAAGATCGAGAAATTAAGGAAGAATCTGGCTTACGTCAATCAGTGTGTAAATTATGACCGAACAAAACTGTGGGAAGGGGGGGGGGTTATTGTCCGAGAGGAAATGTTCTATACGTTAACGATGATGACATTAAGGCCCACCTAACCCTTACGGACACCACACACCCTAAGTATCTAAAAACGCGAAGCGTACCATACGCAATGCGGCCAAAGATAGAGAAGGAGTTAGATCGACTCCAAAACGAGGGAATAATAAGACCTGTGGCGCACAGTGATTGGGCAACACCCATTGTTCCAGCCCTGAAAAAGAATGGTGACATTCGCATATGTGGGGATTACAGAGTCACTGTCAACCCGGTATTGAAGGTTGATGAACACCCGTTGCCTAAAATCGACATCTTCGCAAACCTCTCTGGAGGAAAGAAGTTTTCCAAAATCGACCTTACACAAGCATAGCACCAGATGGAGCTTGATGAAGCATCGAAACAACTTCTCGTGATCAACACTCACAAAGGGCTGTATTTATATAACCGACTGGTATTTGGAATTCCTTCAGCCCAGGCTATGTGGCAGCGAACCACAGAACAAGTTCTACAGGGCATTCCACACACTCAGTGCATCTTGGCATATTTCGTATATCATTTATTTAGTATTTATTATTTCTTCACGATTGGGTAAGATATGTAATAAAAAATTGAATATAAAGTGGAGAAGTACATTTTTCAGCCAATTGAAATTCAATG